AAGTTTTTTTGATATTGTCCAACGTGTGTATGTATATTTTTCGTCTTCAACACATCGGTGGGTAGTTTTCACTAGTCATCAACCTACGTTAACTGTTAAACCTCTAAGTGAAACAAGATGGGAAAGCAGAATAGATGCTATAAAGCCTTTGCGATATGAACTTGGTAAAATATATGATGCACTGCTAGAAATAGCTGATGATACTTCTCTAACTGGATCCTCAGGAAGCACTGCACGCAGTGATGCTAAAGCACTTGCGAATAGTGTTGCAAAGTTTAAGTTCGTGGTTTCAATTGTTGTATGGTACAACATACTTTTTGAAATCAATATAACAAGTAAGCAGCTCCAAGCTAAAGATTTGGATATTCATGCTGCTGTACAACAGTTACAACACACACAAGCCTATTTGGTTGACTGTAGGAGTGACATAGGTTTTGCAAGAATGCTAGTGGATGCTGCTGAAATTGCTAAGGATTTGGAGATACCACCAACCTTTGAGGCAGAACCACGATTACGGCGGAGAAAAAAGCAATTTGCATATGAAGCTAAAGATGAGCCTGTGCAAGATCCAAAACAAAATTTCAAAGTGAATTTTTTCTTTGCTATACTTGACACAGCAATAAGGTCGGTTGAAGAAAGGTTTGAACAAATGAGAACAATTGAATCTGTATTTGGTTTCTTATATCATATTCATGGTCTTCAGAGTAAAACTTCACAAGAAATATTGGAATGTTGCATGAAACTAGAATCTGCTTTACAACATGGTGATAACAGAGATTTAGTTGCATCAGATTTGTGTGGCGAACTACAGTCTATTGCACGACGACTTTCTTAAGAAACAAAGTCTCCTCAAGATGTTTTTCGATTTATTCTTTGCCAAAACTTGGAAGACAGTCTACCCAACCTTTGTATTGCTCTTCGTATTTTGCTGACATTACCTGTTTCTGTCGCTAGTGGAGAGCGTAGTTTTTCCAAACTAAAATTGATAAAGACATACATTCGATCATCCATGTGCCAAGACAGATTGGTTGGGTTGGCAACTCTTTCCATTGAGCACGAACTTGCAGACAAGCTGGACCTGAAGGACCTTGTGATCGATTTTGCCCAGAAAAAGGCACGCAAAGTACAGTTTTGATATTTTTAAATAAATAAATACTTACCTGGTGTTTTCACTTTATTTTGCATTTTATTTTGATTTTTTTACGTAAAAGGGGTGCGACCTTTGAAGTTTTGCCTAGGGTGTCATAGCCCCTTTGCACCGGCCCTGTGTACAGAGCAATAATAAATTCAAATAAGCAAATTATATATATATATATATATATATATATATATATATATATATATATATATATATATACATGTATATATATATATATATATATATATATATATATATATATATATATATATATATATATATATATATATATATATATGTATATATATATATATATATATATATATATATATATATATATATATATATATACATATATATATATATATATATATATATATATATATATATATATATATATATATATGTATACCTATATATATATATATATATATATATATATATATATATATATATATATATATATATATATATATATATATATATATATATATATATATATATATATATATATATATATATATATAATAAAATATATAAAATTAAAGTGTCTATACATATACTATATGTATAGAATATATATTATTGACTTTTTTTCATTTAGAATATTAGATATCTAAAAAAAAAAATTAAAATAGTTAAACAAGTTTCAACATTTTTAAGTTTTTTTCACTTTAAGCAAATAAATGATTGTTTAAAGAGGTTTTCTTTTATTAAATTTGTATTTACTTATTTATTGCAAATCCGTTTTAAAGTAATGAAAGGGCTTTTATGAAGAATGATTACATTTTATCCTCTTGCTGAGCAGACAAGTCTTATTATTTTTTGTTTGCTTTATTTATTAGTTCTTAAATGTAAAAAATTTATTTTTTAAATAACTTTACTATTGTTTTTTTGATTAAATACTAATAATATTTTGTCAATAATTAATAACAACTAACTTAAATATTAACAACACTCAGTTTAAAAGATTATATCAATTTATTGATTTGTAATTAATGTGTAATATGTTTAAAATAATCTTGCTCCATTTTTAGGTTGAGTTCCCTTTCTTATGGCTGATTTTATTACGGCCTACCTAAAGCGTAATAATAATGAAATAATGTTTCAATTTAAATTGTTTTTTAAGTATTTTTGTTACTTTTTGTTAAATATAATATTTTTTTTGTAATTTTTTTTTAAAGTTTATATTTTTATTTTATCTCAAGAAAAATATGTTTATTGTTTCTTAAGTAAACATCTATATTTTTTTATTTTGGATTTATTGTTTAAAATTGAAATATTAATCATTTTTGCATTGTTTTTTATATTTTTGATGCTTTTTATTTATATATATAGAAACCCTTTATACTTAAAATCGTATTTTGTACTCGAAGTTTTCATTTGCATTAAGTATTGATTAGCACAAACAATATGTTTAATAGTTTCGGTCGTAAAAACAGCTTAGTTGAATGAATTTGTTAACAGTTTTGTATTTTACAGCAACGTTTTTATAAAAAGTATTAAACGGATAAAGCTAACTTATTTAAAATGACAATTCTCTTTCCCAGCAAACAATAGACGTCTTTTAGACTGTCTAAAATGGGTCTAGTTTGTATCTATTGCCAATACGTATATTTTAGACGTATATTAGAGATCGAAAAGACGTCTGATTCTAGAGATACTATTTTTGCTCTGTTTTAGATGCATATTAGATGCATAAAATAGATCGTGCATAGATAATTTTTTTTTCCATCTAAACTTAGATGTCTATAAGATGTCTTTTATAGATTTGTTATAAAAATAAGAAAAAAATTTTAACTAAATTTACGGAGCGATAATTATAAATGACCGCCATTTAAAAACCATGAGGAAACTTATTTTGAAAAAGCATGAAGATTTTAACCTATGGAAGACACTAATGATTATTTCTTTTAATAAATTTTAAATAATAAAATAACATGCTATTATAGTTCACAAAATATTTGGATGATTTGATGCTTAGCAATTTTGCTATTATCCTTGTGATTTGAAATTTATTTTGCAGAAATATTACAAAATTAATATTTTCAAGTTGATATTTTTATTTCTAGAATAAAAGATAATGTAATTAAAATAGATGTATTTATATATATAATGTAATTAAAATAGATGTATATATATATATATATATATATATATATATATATATATATATATATATATATATATATATATATATATATATATATATATATATATATATATATATATATATATATATATATATATATATATATGTATATATATATATATATATATATATATATATTATTTTAAGAACCAATAAACATTTTCAAATTTTCAGCTATATGTTGATTTTTGAACATTAACCCATTAATATCGGAACAGTAAACCAGCTCACCATATTGAGAAAAATAAGGCTCAAATTAATTTTCTCTATTTCTATACCAAGCAAAAAATGTTCCATGTATCAATAAATTTTTCTCTTGCAATTTAGATCCTAGTAATTCAGTAGATTGTTTTGAGAGTCCTAAATCTTGGATTAGGTTATTTAATTCAGCTTGAGAAAATTGTTAAGGACTACTGAAGTCGCCTACTTGAAATTAGTCACTAGAACTTTCTTCTGATTCACTTTCTAATTCGTCTAGGCTTTGGGGTGCTTGTGGTATAAGCATGCCAGGTCTGTGAGGGACTGGGCAGAGTGCCAATTCCATGCTTGAATAAAAATTTGTTTTTTATTTTTGGTACTATACCCCTGCACATTGCACGAACAAAAGTAGCAGTCATTGCTGGGGCTTCGAGGCTCTCTCCAGATCATGGGAACACCAAAAAGAAAAGATTTAATATTACCTTTTGACCACATTCTAAGTCCTTCAACACACACTGAAAGTTAGAACAGAAATAAATAAATGAAAGGGAAATACATTTTGAATTTCCACATTTGTATATATCATATATACAAATGCATATATGTATGTATTTTCCATACTTACTATGGAAAATCCCGATATATATATAAATAGTTCAACGCTGACTAAAGTTGTCTTCATAAGTTTCTAAATGTTTTGTTTCAGCCTACGAAACATAAAATTATCTTATAATAAGTTAATAAGTAAAATAATAAATATTTTAGCAATAAACCCTGTTTTGCGCCCTAAAGTAGGCAATCCCACAGCATTTTGCGTTTTTTAGAAAAACCTCACGTGATGGATTTTTTTTGATAACTTTCTCAAAATGAGCGACCAAAAATACATAAGAATTAACTTTTTAATCTTAGAAAAATGTTGCAGACCTGTGTAATTCTTGTCAACACAAATTCTTGTTGTTTGAAAATTTATCAATGAATTGTTTTTTTTTTATGTTGCTTTGTTTCACTTTACTTTAATATTTATATAAAATTGTTAATTATGAAAACTTTATAATTGTAATTAACTATTGTAAATATAAAGCTAAACAGATTATTAGTTATTATATTTAGCAGAATATGCAATAATAATTTTTTAAACTAATTACAACTTTTAATAAAATTGAAAGAAAATTTTTAAACATTTTAAAGTGATTTTTAAAGTGTTTGAAAGTTGTAGTAAATTTATATTTTTAAATTAAAATTATTTATAATTTAAAATTAAAATAAAAATTCATTTTTAAGTTATTTTAAGTTATTCAAATCATATTCTACTTAGTATTAAGTCAATGACAATAAAAAAAATACTCTAAATAAAAGAATATTTCATCAAATCATTATAATTAAATATTGCTTTTATAGTTGTAATTTTATGTTAGAATAAAAACATGTTACAAATCCTAGGTCTCAGCTGTTTTGTTAAATACTAAAGGTTATAGCTATCAATAAAGCTACCACAAACAACAAAGTTATTACCTATGAATTTCAGTGTAAGTACAATCTTTTAAAGTAAAAGCGTTGATATTTTTAATATTTGTAACAGGTGTTTCATCACCAAAATCAAGAAGCATTTGTATATTGTTGCAACCAAGCATACTTACTGTTGTTTTGTATGATTCAACTTGTAGTTGATTTTGGTTAACATTTATTGTAACACCTCAAAAGTTAAAATAAACAAAAAAATCAACCTTAATAAAATATATTTTAAAATTAGAAACATATATGTTTTTAATTTTCACCAGTTATATAATAATATATAAAATGTGTTTATAACTTTCACCAAAAAACAACTGAAACTTATTCACTAAGTGACTAACTAGACAATAAATAAAACTCAATATGTTAATGCTTTTTTAAAGTTATGAATCAGTTTATTTAGTTGCTTTGATTAACAAAACACGATTATTATTAAACTTAATATTAGGATCAGGGGCGGACTGGCCATGTGGAAGATGTGGACTATTCCACATGGGCCGTTGTTAAGTACTTTGTTTTTACGTATATGTATTCTAATAAATTTTTTCTGTTCGATATTTATTCATTAATGTATATATTTATAAATTAAGCATAACTTTGTAATTTACGTCTGTTATCTTTGCTGCTTTTCCTCATTTTTCGTTGGCCTACAGGGCCGTTAAAAATATTTTTCCACATCATAATAATTTGGCCAGTCCGCCCCTGATTAGGATTATTATTAGGATAATGTACTTGCACAAGCAAAACCGAAAAGTTTTACAATTGGAGTCGGAGTCACGATTTTGTTTAGCGACTCCGACTCCGCTAAAAATGTCGCGCTAAAATTACTCCGACTCTGCTAAAAATGACTCCAGTAAAAATGTCTACTCCACGACTCCGATTTCACAGCCCTGATTATAACTAAATTTTATAATTTATGTAATTATGAATACAATTTACTTATAATTTAAAATATACTTATAATTTAAGCAATTATGAATACAAATACACACTTTTAAAAGTGTGTATTTGTATTCATGAGCATTTTTAATTAGTTCAAAAAAATAACATAAATTAAATAAAAAAAATAGCAACTTGACAATTAGAACTAATTTGTGGAATAAAATGATTCTTTATTGACAAAACTAATCATTAAAAGAATAAACTTTAAGCCACTTTTTTTTAAAACAATATTACTATGATGTCCGTAAAAATAGTTCGTTATTTTTTTAATTTTATTAACTTAAACCTTTAAACGATAAAAATTCAAATTTTTTGAAATTAAAGTACAGAAAAATATTTTGTATTATTAAAATATTAGGAGTTTTTACCATGTTCTGTTTTTATTCAAAAATCAATTAAAACCATTGCTATTTTAGGATATTTCAATAAAAAACACTGGGCAAAATTAACATGTTCATATTACATAAAATGGCATCTTTAATTAAAGTCAAAATTAAATGTTTCTATGCATTGTGTTTCAAACAAAAATGGAATGGATTCCTAGCTAAAATACTTTTCTTTATGAGAAAATTACTTTCATTATTTTTGCACCAAAATTTCGCGCCAAAGATTTATTCATACATCATGATATTACTCTAACATGACAAAAAAATTTAAAAGCGTTTTAATTAGATGATAACCGTTAATAACGGCATATAAATTTACGCTAATTATACTGATTTCTGTTATCACCACATAGTGTTGATTCAAAAAATGCAAAGCAACTTTAACTTTACTGATTACATTATTAAATCATTAAGTATGCTCATATTGCCAGGTTGCTCAAAATACCCTAATCTACCCTGTGTCTGGAAAAAAATTACAAAGTGTTACAAAAAAGAAAAGAAAAACAACAACACCCTTATTACAATGATACAAGTCAAACGGAATGGTATAAAACAGTTGATTAGTTTAAATTCACACAATATACATGTTCAAAATAGTTGGTTTATAATACTATTTCTTTTTTAATAACTAAAATTACCTTATATGAGATTCATAGGAAACTTGAAAATCTTATATGCTTTGAAATAATTTTTGCTTAAAAATTTGTTATGCTATCAAACAAACCTCAATAATTTAAGCCACATCTATGAGGCAAAAATTTGGTTTGAAAAAATTATTCACTAACGCAAATTCCAGTAATTACTTTGATCATATTTAAACTTTGTAAACAAGACAATTTATGAGCAAATAGTCTTCTTATATACTAATTTCTACTTTCATGTCATTTTACATATAGTAATTTTTAATTTTCAAGCCATTTTCATTTGTAGAGGAAAACAAAGCACGTTAATAAAATAAACAAATTTATAGTTTTTTATGTTGTTTTAAAATACTAATTATAGTTTTCAGCTACTAAGTAATTTAATATTACTATAATTTTATTGGATAAAAATACTGGTTGAGTCATTGTACACTCAAAGTTTGTTATAAAACATTTTAAATCAGTCTCTTTATTTAAATATAAACCAAATTCATATTTCTGAGCAAAATCAGCAACTTAGTTCCACGAATTTACAAGTAATAAATAGTATTAGTGTTTTCACATATTAATACTGGTCAACATTACTTGGCTTTAGACTCACTTACAGATGAGATATATATTATATAACTTTTCTATAAAAGATTTGACCTTACAAATATAAATGGATTGGAAAATAACTTTTGAGTACTTACATCTTGATTTAATATGCAATATAATGCAATAAGCATTTCTTTGTTTTTTTTTTTGCAATTTTGTACTATCACAATATTTTTGAAAACTGAATAAGTTTGTTTTGTCCGCAGGTTTTTTAGTAATATCATCATTCCAAAAGTATTTATATATTAAATAGGGGTTTATCAAACTTTTATTCTGATCAATTAAAGGGTAAAATAAATAATTTCATATAAAATGTAATTGTGAAGTGTTATACCTCTATGCAATTAATATAAACATTCGTTTTCAGACAAAAATTATTTTTACAAATTATACTCAAGCTTGTATAACAAATTGTTGTCCTCTAAATTTTGAAGAGTAAAATCATATAGCATCACTTCCAAGAGTTTATAGGCCCTATAGTAATATCTTGTCACTATTTTCTTTCATTAATTGTATTTCCTCTATGATATCTATTCTTTAAATTGTTATAAGACTATATTTAACAGGGCTGTGGAGTCGGAGTCGGAGTCGCGTAGTTGCAACAATTTTACCGGAGTCGGAGTCGGAGTCGCTAAAAAATATCGCGACTCCGACTCCGATAGTAATATTTCTTGGTATTGTACGTGCATGTACAAAACATTCAATTAACCTTATGTTCATACTAAACATTCATAAATTTGTCAAAAAAAAAATTTCAATTTACCGGGCAATATTTTTTGAAGAATTCAAAGAATTTTTCAAAAATTTTGCTTTGGAGTTGGAGTCGGAGTCAGAGTTGGAGTCGGAGTCGGAGTCGGAGTTGTACTCAAAAAATTTAGCAGCTGGAGTCGGTGTCGGAGTCGCTACTTTTTTTTACGACTCCACACCCCTGATATTTAATAATGTTACCATTATCAAATAAACATAATATATATTAGTCTGATGGTTTATTAAAGATAAAACTTCTACTAAAGTAAAAATTTATGTTTTTCAAAATTTGTTCTCTTTACAATTAATGAATATAATCAAGCAATCATTAAAATTTTCAAAGTATATTTTTAAAATGCCTTTTAAGAAGACTATTTTACATTAGGAGTTTTTGTTGATCTCTCCAAAGTTTTTGACACCATAAATCATTCTATTCTAATTATAATCAAAGTAAAGGATATTATCTAAAAATAATCAAAGTAAAGGATTCAAACTTACATTGATTTGAATTTTACTTGTTGAACAGAACATTATTTTCATTATTATATTGACTTTTTAAAGTAGTCAACAAACGGCTAAATAAAGTAAGTAAATGGTTTCAATAAAATATACTGTATTCAAATGTTCAAAAAATATTTTTGCTTTTTTCCACAAACCAAGCAAATCAAAAGAAATACCTCTTAATTTACCTAATCTCCAAGCTAATAAAACTGATATTAAAAGGCAAACTTCTGTTAATTTTTTAGGAGAGAACTTTGATAAAAATTTATTTAGAAACAGCATATAAACTCTATTGAAAAATCTCAGAAAACATTAGCATTATCTTAAAAAATTTGTTTTTTCTTTTATACATAGTTATTTAAACTACGGTAATATTTTATAGAGAAGTACTAATCACACTAAGTTAAGAAAACTGCACAACAAGCAAAAACATACAGTTAAAATTGTATTTAGAGCTGGTAAAGCTGTTCCTAGTGAACCTCTTTTACGTAGACTGGATGCCTTAAATATTCTCAAACTTAACACCCATCTAGTTAAAAAGTTCATGTATAAAATAATACAGTTTATTTTAAAATTTTTTTGAGTGTCTCAAAAAAATTTTAAAACTTGTTTTAACAAAATACAGCATAAGTATTCTACAAGATTTTCCATAAACAACTTTTTTGTACCAAAATCTTATTCAAAACTGACTTGTTATTCAAATCAATTTTACTGACCATTTTTGTGGAAAATATTTCCAAATATTGTTGCCATTAAGAATGTTTCACTTACTTAGTTTAAAATTAAATTAAAGGGGTGTTTATTACACGCAGGTTTTAATATATCTTGTTTTCAGTGTTTTCATTAAAATCAATAAAATAAAATGATCTAAAACATTTCATCAACCAAATAACAATGTAATCAATTAAAAAAAGTTAATCTTAAATTCAATGACTCCGTAAGTTGAAAAACTAAATTGAATAATTACGTTAACCATTATCATAAATCGCTTCTTTTTTTTTTAACTTTTTAATTTTTTCTTTTTCTTTCTTTTTTTTGTTTTGTTTGTTTTTATTTATCTAATTTATTTTTAGTATTACATATTAGTTAAGATAATCTTATTTTAATGTTAATATTTTTGAAAATGCTTATTTTATTTCTTTGTTTATACTCTATACTCTTGGAAATAATTAATATATATATATGTATATATATATATATATATATATATATATATATATATATATATATATATATATATATATATATATATATATATATATATATATATATATATATATATATATATATATATATATATATATATTTATATATTGTAACACGATGCTCGAGGACGAGACAAAAATAATGCTTCTTCTTGCTCCGCCCATTAATTTGATTTTTAAATTTATGGAGGTTGTATTATTTCTTCAACGGATTAAATTTATAAGTGAAGCGAATTTGTTGCAAGCTCGCTTCAGTTCGAATTTTAAATTCTTCTAAAATGTTGTTATTTTTGCCTTTATCAATCATTTTTTTATAGGCGTCATCATGATCAACCATTAACGTTTCATCATAGCTTCGAGGAATAATGTTTAGGGCAGTTGTTAACTCTTATTTTTATCTTTTTTTCAACAAATTGAAATATTTCAGAGAAAAGTGATTTGTTTTCTTTTTTTTAAAAAAAAGAAAAATATTATAGATTTAGATATAAATTTATCGCAAGAATCTTGATATTCATACTGTACCCACAATATTTTAACCCTAAATATAATTAAAAACCTTTAAACTTTTTCTTTAAACTTCTACATTTTTGTTTGTAAATGCAATATGAGGTGATCTTGATTAAAAAAATATTTTTAATAATATATACTTTTTATTGCAAAATCAAGATATTTAATAGTGATTCGGCATTAATAAAAGCAATATTGATAACTAAAATAAAACATAGCTGATAACCCATTGATTAATAGATTGTTTACAGGATGTAGTTGTAGAGACAAAAACTGCAAGCTAAAAACGTTTAGTCCTAAAAACCTGCGCAAAAAATCCCATTAATATTATTATAGTAAAATAGTAATTCAGTCCATAGCAGCTATTCATTGGTTCAAAACTTTAATAAGTAAGAAGGTTTAATCCTCAATTTAAGTAAAATTTAAAAAGTAAATTTACATTAAAAATTAAATTTTTAGAAGAAATGTTCAATCATCAATTCGTTTAATTTGTTAAAGAAGTTTTGAAAATTGAAATTAGAATTGTATAGTTTAGTATTTTTTAGATTGGGAACGAGTTAATTTTCTTATCTCAGCTAAAAAGTATGAAGTTCTTTTTAGCTAAGACGAGTCAATTGTTTCAAGAGGGTTCAAGTCAACTGTTTTAAGAAAATTTGTTGTATATGATTTTGATTTACAAATTCATGTTTATTGGACAAATTTATTATATTACTGTACAATGATTTCTTTAAGAAGACTTGAAAAAATATTTTCAATTTTACACACAATTGAGGTAAGGAAAACATGTTTGTAGTTAAACTCTGACAGCTTGTCACTTTTTTTTATAGAATGGTGTTACATCTGCGGATTGAATTTGTAATGACAATATACCGGTATTTCAATGAGCCAGAGCAACATTTTTAAAGTTTTTGAAGAACATGATCAGATCTTGTTGATTTACCACACCTTATTTTATGAAGTTTTAATATAATACTTTTGATAGTAAAAAATTAGTTCATATAAAAGATATGAAATAAAAACAGAGCAACAAGGGTGTAAAAATATTATTTTTTCAATCTTACAATAGAAAACTAACAAAATCTTCCACACACACACACACAAAAAAAAAATCCAACATGAAAAAAGAAAATTACAAAAATTTCTTAAGAAGTTTAAAAAAAAAGTTGTCAAAAATCAACTGTACCTTGATTACTACATAGTTTATCATCTCTACTTCTTCCACCGCAATCTATCCATTGACTATTGTTGCAACGGCGAGTTCGAATTATTTTAAAAGATGTGTCGCATTGTGACCACTCACTCCATTGAGACCAAAAAACTATAAAACAAACTAAAGAATTTCAGCAAACGCATACTGTTCGTGACAATAAAGAAAATACTTATTTGTAAAAAATATTTAGAACAGAATTTGTATTTATCATACTATTTTCCAGAGAGGTTTATTTCAGTAAAAACCATACTATTTCCCAAAAAGGTCTTTAAATAAATATATCAGAAGTTAATAAAAAACTTTTGGCGGAATGGAAATATTCAAGTAAAAACCCATATACAAAAGACATTAAAATTTCATTTATTAAGTATCAAACTTTGGCGTTGCACAATAGAATAGTCGTACTTTGATGACACAATAAAATACAATGTTCAAAATACAGTCTTTTGTTAAATACAATTTTCGACAATTATTGAAAATGTTAGTTTTGATGTTATGTCACTTTCAAATTTTAATTATCCTTTTTCAAAAGCTGACATTAAACTGAATGCAATAAAAATATTTAGTAATAAAGATAATATGCAACAAAGAAAATTATAACTTTTAGTATTACATATGAACTTTTAGTATTACATAAAAAAATGTAAAATAGATAAAAAAAAAAATTATACAAATTTAATCTAAAATAAAATATAAAGTTCAATTAATAAAGCCATAAAATTATATAGTAGTAACAATAATATATAAAAATCTAACCAAGAAACCTGTATTTCTGTATCTTTGATTTGTTGTATAATAAAAATATTATCCAATTGTATTAAAAATTTCATAACTTTTAAATTAGATTTTATAACAAACAAAATGTTTAAGTTCTGCTTTTCGATTTTTTTTTTTTTGTTATTATTTTGTTTAGGCGGTATTTACCTCTCTACCCCAAGTTTTTAATACTGATAGAGAATTTTATACTGATTAAGATTCGCATAAAAACATAGGTCTGAAAATCAACAAAATGTGCTCTAATTCTAAAATGAGCATTTTCTTTTTCAATGAAAAGCTTTTCATTGAAAAAAATCTGTCTTCCCTTAAAAGATGACAAATGTTTTTTTGTAAAAATACTACATAAATAAATGAAATACTTTATAAAAATAAAAATAATTAAGTTGTTTTAAAGTTAAAAATTAATTAATCCTAAATATGTATTTAAATTAGTATTTTTCAATTGAGTGGATATTTTTTTCAATATGCCATTTTCTAACAATATGTTATAAATTTCAAAGCAAGATTTATTTCATATTAAGTTTTACAATGAGTGCTGCAACTAGAGTATCAATATTTAATCTTGATTTTTCTTTTTCCAGAAATCATTACCAATTGAAAAAACTCTTTCCACTGCTGCATTAGTACCATGGCAGCTCAACACAAATTGAATAAGATTAGTTAAATTTTAATATGGAATGTTTTAATTTTTGAAGAGATCAAATATTTTTACCCATCTTTTATCGATTTCAAAATTTTTATTTTTCCATAGTTTTAATTTATCTGATTTTAAATATAAGTTTATTCTTTTTATTTCATCATACAGACTATTGACATTGATTTTATTATCAGGGATTTATGTTGATAAAAACTCAACACACTTTTCAATATCCAAGGCCCATTTAACATGTGAATTCAAAAAACACATTTATAAACTGTTTTGTGCTGTGATATTTATCTCAGACCATTATTCGACATATTGAAAGCATGTTTGGTAAAAAATTCTGCACTTCCTTGATAAATTTATTTTCACCACCGGATTTGACACTTCCAAATTTGATAATTTTTTTATCATTAAGAAATAAAACTATCTTTATGTTGTGATTTATATTAAAGGTGAAAATTGTTTAAAATAAGAATAACTTCTGCAGCACATGTATTATCACTTTCAATCTCTTGAATCGTTATGTGAAATAAAGTTGCCTGCTCTTGTGTACAAAATACATATATATCGCTGAAAATTCATTACTGAAAAAAGATATCAGAATTTTTTGATATTTTTCTAAATATAAAAATATGAATGGAGGAGTTCAAATAATTTTAAAACAAGCTCAATAGCAGGTGTTAAAGCAAGCTATCTCACTTTTGAATGTGTATGTAATCAACATTTGCTTCTTTGCAAAATTGTTTTAAAGTAACCATATATAAAGTAAAACGACTAAAACACAATATGTGCGTTGTAAACAATTCTTAGTATTTTCTTTTGAAGTAAATCTTGTAATTTAACATGAATATTATTTACTCTTTTCCACTTTTGCTGATTAAAATACGTATTTGTATCATCAGTTGTTAGTGCAACAACTTTAGATTTTAATTTATTTTTTGAAGTTTTTCAGCAACCCCTTACCCCACGTGACACATATTCGCGGCGGCGCGAATAAGTGTCACGTGGGGAGGGGGTACCAAAACAAATTTTGCCAACTAAAAAAAATAAAAGATCCTAGTTTTTTAAAATTTGCCGACTGCCTTATTGACATATCGACACTTGCCGATTGACTCTCTGAGTTTACAGACTAACTTGTTGAAAAGGTCAATATTGGCTGACTGACTACTCAAAAAGGTCAAACTTGCCGACTAAATGAACGAATAAATCATTGATGGGGGGATATCAAAAAATTTCCCTCAATTATAGCTTACTGTTTTTCACACTCAAAATGAATAAAAGTTTTAAAAATTTTTGTTAATTTAATAGTAGAAGCTGAAGCATTTAGTGCTTTCTTATGCTTGTTAGTGTTTAAGTGTTTCCTTAAAGCACTTCTCCCTCAAACTGCAGTACAAAATTCTTCTTTAAAAGTATTACAAAGAACAATGGCTTCACTTTTTGATACGAGCAAATCTAATTCGCTTTTCAATTAATCATTTAAATGACATTTTCTCTTGTTTCATTTTTCCATTCCTTAAATGAAATAAAATAATGATATTAATGTAAACATATTGCATATAAATAAAATTATGAAATCAAGAATAAAACATACCGATTCTAATTACTTGAGTAAAATATTTTCAAAAAAAACAACAACAACACTTCTTACAATTTAAATGATTGAATTGTTTGAACCTGTTAAAAGGTAATTAAAAAAGACTAGTCAATGTTAGAAAGAAACAATAACGATGGACAGTATTTAAATATAGAAGCGAAACCTTTTCAAACCAAGTTGAAGTACAAAAAGAAAATAGTTTAATTGTGAAAATTCCAAAATAAATTTGGTAGTATCTGAGAAAAATATTAAAAAATTATTTCAAAAAAAATTTATTCCATGAAACCGCATTTTTCCAAAGTTTAAATTTTCATACCCATTAATGCGGCTCCCTTATCAATTAAGGAAGAAATGAAACAAAAAAAATGTTAAAACGAATTTAAGAGCTGATGACATTGTGACTGATGACCTTAAAAAAAAATAACTTTCTGTTCAGAATTTAACAGCTTTACTCCTTCAGGTATGCCTCTTCATTGTTTTAAATTGAAAATTGGTTGTAAACTATTTTACTCAAAAATTCAGATCACAAACATAAGTTATAAATTAGCACTAGATTGAAAAATCGTGAAAGTGTTTCTGGTGTTAAATGGTAAATTGTTGCTCGAATTCAGTTAGTTCCATTAGAATTTAATTTACTTTTTTGTTCTAAAATGTTGTCAGTTCTCTGTCAGTTTTATTGGCACATTCAATAAAATTAAAAGTCAACGTCAAACAATTTATAGAGCCTATTTATATCTAAAAAAAACTGTGATTTTCTCATAGTCAACTTAAGGTTGTATGTTTTAGAACATTGAAGAAGCATTTAATAGTTGGTTTGTCGAAATTGATAAACATTTAAGGTATAGTAAGTGAAAAATGTTACAAAAACAATGTAATACTTTCGAATTTTTTATTTATTTATATTCTTTAAATTTTTAAATTTTAAAGTCGATTATTGTATATTGAAAACATGTGTTGTATGCTAATATACCAATGTGCCAACGGAAAAGCACATGTATCAGCTTTGGGAGTCAGGATTCGAAGATTTAGCTATTGGGGGTTTGATACCCCTTATACCCCTCCCCCTCCAACAGGATAGCATTGTTTATATGTCATATGTTTATAATTGTTGTGTGTGTTTGTATGTGTTTCTATGTGAGATTGTATTTATTATAAAAGGTTATTTGTGTTTATAGCTTGTATATATACATATATTTATACTATGTTATTTTCATGTTTTCAAAGTGGTTTAACTTAGCAACCTGTAGAGAACGGTTGTTAGGCTTGCCAGCTAAGCCATGTACCTATTAATGTCTTATGCTACATGTTCTATTCTAATGTTTTGTTGCTATGATGTAATTTTTGTGACTTTGTGATAGACAGCTCACCTTACCTTCTCGTTGATGACTTTCTTAAAAAATGAAGAATAGGTAGTCTTATTACAAAGACTTACTCCTTTCAATCATTCACTAAAAGCTAAGACAAAGTTTTTGTCTTGGATTATAGTGATGTATCCAATTTTATGTGGTGAAAACATTTTATCTAGTTATAACATTGATGCTTTTAGTGAAGCATTAATGTTATAACTAGAATTTTATTAATGTAACAGTCTTATTATAAATTATTTAATGCATTTAAAAATTCAACATATTCCCAATATATTTCAAGGCTCTATTTTATATTTCATGAAGCTACTACATAATCCATTTGAAATAAAACCCTGAGTTTTAACCTTTTTGTGTATATAAAATATCAGGATTAGGTAACTTCAGGTTTTCTTCTATTATATATGAATAAATATCAATACTTTTCATGTTTTAACTGTACAAAAACATAAATTTTCTTTACAAAATTTGTATTTAACCCTATACAGGCTGAGAATAGGTAAGCTCTCTTATCAAACCTCTATTCCGACGGTCAAACCTCTATTCCGACCGCAAACATGAAAAAAAAAAAAAAAATTAATAACACTCACTGTGCCTATGGCTATAAAAATCAGACGATGTATCCACACTGCGATGCGCCTATGCTTATTTAACACAATTTGCCTATCCCCTGAGAATTCCAGTTTTCAGACGTCAAGAATGCTCAATGTCGGATTAGGGGTTTGAAAAGAGAGATTACCCTTATAATAAGCAGAGATATGCGCAATCTGATGCTAATTATGAAAGAGAAGCTTTTGCATTTATGCTGAAATCAAAACAAATTTTAAAAAGCGTAAAGTAAAGTCGAATAATTGCATAAAAAATCAAATAAAAATAACAAAAATTGTATAATTTTTCTATCAAAATTTGTGCAATATAGTTCTTATAGTTTCAAAACTTCACAGGTCAAAACATCTTT